TACTAAGTGGTAATACAAATTTCTTTAAGAAGTGGGTGACTAAGTCACAGGGATAGCATTAACATATCACCTACCTAAGAGAAACCCTCAAAGGTAATGACCATTAATATAAAAGAAAATCAGAAAGAATGGGGCTTGTTTCATATGCTGTCAAGTATTCACATCATATGAAAACTATTAGCAGGAAACAGGAGTACAAGAAACAGAAAAAAAATAGCTAAGCCTCCATTTTGGCAATTAAAATATCATCTAGGGATTATTTTTCCCATTAAGGGATTTGTAAAGAAATTTAAAACACTATATCTTGTATTCCCAGCTGGCTGGTAATGTGTAAGATCTCTTTTGGGAAGAACGGGATGAGACTGGAGTAGGTCCTCCCACATCAATTTTAATATGCTCAGTGGCTGTCTTGGCATATCAATCATGAACAGTTCCAAAGATTGACCTCTGCTTGCTAGGGGGTTGCATTCTCACCTCATTGGGTGTTACATTTAGTGAAGACATAATTGATTAAGCTGATGGAGATAGAAGTAGAAAAATACATACATCATAAATTATATGCAGGGTCCATGATTTCTCTGCACAAAATAGACTCCTAATGATCTATTTCTTAAAAAAAACAACAACAACAACAAAAAAACTTTTTTCCAATATTCAAAAGACAAAGATAGGGTCTATATCATTAAACCATTGGCACATGTTGTTTTGTTTACCACACGTAAATGCACACCAATTGTGTTTGACAGTGCTCATGATTTCTAGCACAAATTTTGTCCTCAGAAACTGCCAACTCACTCCTTAAAATGGAAAAAGAAAAGAAAAGGAAAAAACAAAACAAATAAAACACCAACCTCTGGGATCTTCATCCATTTCAGAAAAGTCCATAATTGAAAGTCAGGTTGAAGAAATTTTCAATTCCCTCTTCCTGATGTTCTTTCATACTAATTGCACTCCCTGAATATTAAATAGAGACTTCCTCCATATGAGAGCAATTATAGAACTTGTTAAAAACACGCAAGTGGCTTGTAAAAGCAATGTACACATTAAAGACTACGTCTAAAAGGACTTTTGGAAAGGTCTTCTAAAAACATCAGGACATGAACAGGCAATGAAAATGCATGGGATCTTTGATGATAACACTGTTTGCTAGAAAGTGGTATAGAATAGAAAGCAAGACAATGTCAGAGAGAACATTACCAAAGTCTGAAAACAGCTTCACTCTAACATTGAGGGAGTTACACTTCCAGGACCCACAGCACAACATGATCAGAGAATCTTCTGATATTAAAGGAATAGAAAATAGAACAGGGTAATTACTTAATCAGCTGATCTAATGGGAAATTTTGTACCACTGTCACAAAAATGAAATTCACATCTATAAATCCAGATGTTTTATTTAGCAAGAGGCAGAATTGAATACTACAATCAATCCTTTACTTAACAAAAGTTACCTACCTTGTGATAACATTGTCAATCAAGAATATATGAATTGATATCTAGAAATCCATCTACCTTGAATTCTGACAGACCTGAGCTCTTGTACTAGCTCTGCCACTTACTGGTGGTTGATCTTGGGCACATGTAAAGGTTTGAACTATTTGCACCAACATTTCATTTATCTATATCAACAGCTGTGCCAAGTTGTATATTCTCCCATTAGAAATGGGATATATGATTTTCTCCCAGTGATGTGCTATGCCACGTGTATTTCCTTTGCCAGTGGGAGATAAGCATCTGTCTTATATATAAGCAAAGATTTGACATGTGCTAATATGGCTGGGCTAGCCTATTTTTATTTCTGCTACCACCACGAGAAGAACATGTCCCTATAGCCCACTATTCAAAGATAGATGTTATAGAACAGAGCCATATTCAGTGTGCATCTTAGTCAAATCCAGCTTAAACCAGGCAACTCCCAGGTAATCCCCAGATAAATAGCAGATGCATGAGAGAAAATAATTATTTTAAGCCATTAAGATTTGAAGTTGCTTGTTATATAATAGTACTCCCTGATATACCATGTATCTCAATCATTCTTAGGCTCAATATCCACATATATAAAATGGGAATAATAAAGTATGTATTTATGTCTACTATAGGGACTATTTTCACTTTAAATGCATGCATGAAAGCATTTGAAAAGTCAATTACACTTATATATACCAGAGACATGAAATTAAAATTATTAGGCAATACCATTTATCATCAGAAACCAAAAGAGAAAGCAAAGAAATAAAAAACAAGTGTGAATTTATCAAATATATAGAGGACTAGTATATTAAAGCTTATGATAGAAATTAAATAAAATTTAAATAAATGGAGGGACACAATGTATTCATGGATTGGAAAACCAAACATAATAAAGATAACATCTCCATAAATTTTATACAGTTTTATCATAATCTTGTCATATTTCCAGAAGACATTTTGTAGATTTAGGAAAGATCTTTAAAAATTATATGGAAATATAAAAAATGAATATTTTAAAAAGATAAAAATTTTGAAAAAAGTGAAATAGGAGGGATGAGCCTAATAATGTACTAGGATTAGATAGACTGTATATGTACTAGGTGTTAGATCTATTATATAACTATTGCAGTCTAGATTGTGTGGTATTTGTGCAGAGATGTGAGATGTGAAGATGAACTGAACAGAACAGAGAACAGAAGTGGACCATCTGAAATATTCTCAAAACAAATGTGATAGAAGTGGAGGAGCAATTCAGTGGAGGGAACATAGGTTTCAACAAGGGATGCTAGAGGAATTAAATATTCATAGAGAAGAGAAAAAAACAACACTGACCAAAGTCTTTCATTTTACATAAAAATTAACTCTCAATGGAGCACAGACATCAATTTAAGATGTAAAACTTTAAAACTTGAAAAAGAGACAATTGGACCTTATCAAAATGAAAATATTTTGCATTAAAAATAGTTACCTTAAAAAAGAACGAAATTACGGCATTTGTGGTAAATGGATGGAGTTGGAAAATGAGTGAAATAAGCTAATTCCCCCAAACCAAAGGCTGATATTTTTTTCTGATATGTGGATGCAAATTCACAATAAGGAGTGGAACTAGGGAAGAATAGAGTAACCTCAGATTAGGTAGTGGGTAGTGAAGGGAAGTGAAGGGAAGGGAGAGGATATAGAGATAAGGAAGGATAATAGAATTAAAAACATTATTACCTTTTGTATACATATAACTGCATAATCGGTGTGATTCTACAACATGTACACTCAGAAAACTAAGAAATTATGCCCCATCTATGTATAACTAATTAAAACAAATAAAAAAAATTTAAATAGTTTTACCAGAATGAGGAAATAAGCTATAGAGTATCAGAAAATATTTGCCAACAATATGTCTGATAGGTAACTAGTCTGTAGAACATATATATATATAATCTTGAAAAATTCAACAGTAAAAAATAATCCAATAAGACAATGATAAAAGATTTGAAAAGACATTTCTCTAAAGAGCATGCATGTATGGAAAAAGAAACCATATGAAAAGATATTCAACATAGTTGTTATGATTTAGATATAAGATATCTACCAAAAGCTTATGTGTGAAACAATGCAAGAGAGTTTATAGGTAAAACGATTGGGTTATGAAAGCATTAACATAATCACTGCATTAATCCCCTGGTAGGAATTAACTGGTGGTTTATGAACACAAAATGTGGCTGGAGGAGGTGGGTCACTGGAGCCCTGCCTTTGCATGCATATATATAGAGTTTCATGTGAATGGAGCTCTCTTTTCTCCCCATCCCTTTGCCCCTCCCTCTTCTTTGTCCTCCTCCTTTCTTCTCCTTCTCCTTCTTCTCTTTCTTCTTCTTCTTCTGTTATGTCTCCAGCTGATTTCCTCTGTCACACACTCCCACCATGATGTTGTGCTTCATGTCAGACCCTGAGGAATGGAATCGGCTTAGTGCCTTGCTTTTGTTGAGGCTGGCATGGAACTCAGGATTCTATGCACTGAGACCTCTGCAACTGTGAGCCTCCAAATAAACTTTTCCTCCTTTAATCATTCCTCTTACATCTTTTTGTTCTCGTTAATAAATGAGAAAAAGTAAATAAAAATCACAATTATATATTTTACATACCTTTTGAATTACTAAAATACCTAATAGTGGCAATTTCAAATACTAGCAAGAATAAAGAGAAATTAGATTACACATACATTTTGTATGGTTGGGAATAAAAAATGGTAGAGACACTGGAAAATACTTTAGAGGTTATTTAAAAAACTAAACACAACAACACATGACCCAGCAATGGCACTCTTGGGCAGCAATCCCAGAGAAATAAAGACTTATGTTCACATAAAAATCTGTACACAAATATTTATAGATGCATTATTCATAGTAGACAAACACGCTAAAGAACCCAAAATGTCCTTCAACAGGTGAACAAGTAAACAAACTGTGGTTCATTACAATCAACTACTTCTCAGCAATAAAAAGGAAAAAGACTATTGACGTATGCAACAACCTGGATGAATCTCCAGAGAATTACTCTGAAAAAAGCCTGAGTGATATGAATGGAAAACAGACTAATTGCTGCCAAGTTTCCAGATTGCTGACGGACAGGGAATGAAGTGTTAAGGGCTACAAAGGAGCAAAACTGAAGGGTCATTGTGATATGGCAGTGTTCTGCATGTGGATTGCCTCAACCACAATTATCCTGTTTATGTCATTTTGTACTGTAAATTTGCAAAATGTTGCCATTGAAAGAAACTGAGTAAAATGCCGTGTAATCCCTCTCTTCTGTCCTACATCTGCATGGAAAGCTACATCTATTTCAAAATCATAAGCTTAATTAAAGATATGTATTTCAGACTTTTAATAAGAGTTGATATCCTTTTAAGTTGTCAAAAAAACATAAAGCCATAATAATTATAACCTGTTTTCATAAAAAAAAAACTTTTTATTGTTTTTAAATGGTTTGGGCACTCAAACATCTGATTTTCTTTTTTTTTTTTTTTTTTCCGGCTAAAGCAAGCTGCATTAAGATGCATCAACTCAGCTGGCATAGTGGTGCATACCTGCAATCCCAGTGGCTCAGGAGGCTGAAACAGGAGAATCGTGAGTTCAAAGCCAGCCTCAACAAAGGCACTAAGCAACTCAATAAGACCCTGTCTCTAAATAAAATACAAAATAGGGCTAGGGATGTGGCTCAGTGGTTGCGGGCCTCTGAATTCAATTCTCAATACCCCCAACTGCTACTAAAGATGCATCAGCTCATTAGACAGATATTACATTAATGGACTTCAGTACAGGTAGCCAGCTGCAAATCAAGTGTCCAAGATTTTAAAGGAAGAATAGAATTTCCTGGGCTCATTCACTGTCATCACATTGCTTCTCTGAACTCACTTCCAATCCAGACAGTCTCAGGTCTGCATTGGTTCCAGTATTATACCAAAGACTCAAATCTATTTAGCATTTGCTGAAGAAAAAGCCCTATTTATAGACCAATCAGTGATTCTTTCCACTCTTGAAATAGTTGAAAATTTAAGAATATCAATTTTCTTTTTGGTGAGGTATCTTTTTTATTGTTTAGTTAAGGGTTGATGCATAAAATTATACATATTAAGAGGAACCATACCATGTTTTCATATATGTTTAAATTTTGTAACACTTAGAGTAAATATATGTATCTCCTCAAACGGTTTTTATTTCTTTATGGTAAAATCACTCAAAATCTGCCTAGTTTTTAAAAATGTACAGTACATTATCATGACCCATATTATTGTTAAAGTATCTTAAAGGATGGTGGTCTCTTCTTAGCATCTACTCAGCACTCAGTTCTTGCAAGGTTTCTTTTTTACTTAATGAAGGAAATATCTTAATGAAGGAAGAAAGAACAGCAATGCCTGAGATGATTTACTGTATCAGATCCAATGCTAAATGAATTGATAATATCTCTCCTAGGAATCTGAGATTAATGTAAAATCAGTAACTTATTTTATACTCACACCTTCTCATTGTCATTGAAAGAATCTTAAACCAGAAATCTACATCTTTGATCACATTGATACAAATAAATCTACAGAGGCTTTCCCCCTTTCCATTATTAAAGTATAATTTTATCATAATTATTCTTTAGAATAGGGGATTTGTTTTACCATTTTCCAATTTAGTTGGTCTTTGAAAGTTTATTAAAAAAAAAAACAAATACAAGGTATTCTAAAGCCCTAAGATCAGAATGAATAGCCTAAAAGTTAATTCCTAGTGATTTTATCTGATGAGCATTCACTGTTTCCACACGTGTGATCTTGAGAAACTGATTTTATATCTGTAAGCCTCAGGTTCTCATAGTAAAAATGGAATTTGGTGATCACAATAGATATTGTTTTCACAATTTCATTGCCTAGTTTTTTAAAAATTTTAGTTTGCTATATATGACAGCATAATGCATTACAATTCATATTACACATATAGAGCACAATTTTTTATATCTCTGGTTTACACGAAGTAGAGTCATACCATTCATGTCTTCATACATATTCTTAGGATAATGATGTCGATATCATTTCACTCTTTTTCCTACCCCTTCTCCCCTCTCCCTTCCTTGCCCTCCCCTTTGCCATGTCTAGAGTTCATCTAATCCTCCCATGTCCCTCATCCCCAACCCCATAATGAATCAACATCCTTAAGTCAGAGAAAACATTCAGCATTAGTTTTTTGGGGGGGATTGGCTAGCTTCACTTAGCATTATATTTTCCAACTCCATCCATTTATATGCAAATGCCATGATTTTATTCTCTTTTACTACTAAATAATATTCCATTGTGTATGTATACCACATTTTCTTTATTCATTCATCTACTGAAGGGCATCTAGGTTGGTTCCACAGTTTAGCTATTGTGAATTATGCTACTATACACATTGATGTGGCTGTGTGCTGGGTTTCTGTTCTCGTGACTAAAAGGCTCAAGGGTCACTCCAGTCGAACTGGGAAAATTGGGTTGCGCAAAATAACCACACAAGAGACACAGATACCTTTTTCTTTGGGGTCACTTGATGGCTCCTCTCACCTTAAGGGTCCGCAGTAAGAGAGAGAGAGCACTTGCTGACCCCTTTTATTGAGGAGAAGCTATTCAAATGAGGCAAGGGGTCAGTTTTCAGGAGCCTGAGTCTATCTTCATGATGTCCACTGTCAGCAGGTTGACTGACATCTGGGTAGACCACACCCAAGGGCACAGTAAGAGAAGGGGACACACACAGGGCACTTCCATGGAAGACTCTATCCTAAACAGGGCGAGGGGTTATATTACAAAGGAACAGGTGAGCGTAGCTTCACCCATGGGGCTGCAGCAAGACACACCCATGCAGGAGACACCTCCCTGGAACCCAAGAAGAGTGGGGAAAACTCTGCCACATTTCTGTGACTGAGCACCTCAGCACCCAGCTGGGGAGTATGACTCAGTCACATGCAAGGTTGGTCTCCCACAACTATGTCCCTGTAGTATGCTGTTTTTAAGTCCTTTGGATATAGACCGAGGAGTGGGATAGCTGGGTCAAATGGTGGTTCCATTCACAGTTTTCCAAGGAATCTCCATACTACTTTCCATATTGGCTGCAGAATTATTGTGTTGTGATCTATTTAACTCTTGAACTTTAGAAGAGTTTGTCTTATGAATATAGATGCTCCATTATTTGGGGCATATATATTTATAATTGTTATGTATTTTTGGCATATGTTTCCCTTGAGCAGTATGAAATATCATTCTTTATCCATTTTGATTAACTTTAGCTTGAAGTCTCCTTTATTTGATATGAGGATGGAAACCTCTGCTTGTTTCCACAGTCCATGTGAGTGGTATGATTTTTCCCAAGCTTTCACCTTCAGTCTGTGAATATCTTTTTCTATGAGATATGTCTCTTGAGGCAGCATATTGTCGGGTCTTTTTTTAATCCAATCTTCCAGCCTATGTCTTTTGATTGGTGAGTTTAGGCTGTTAACATTCAGGGTTATTATTGAGACATGATTTGTATTTCCAGCCATTTTTGTTTATTTTTGTTATTTAACTTGACTTGGTTTCTCCTTTGATTAGTTTTTCCATTAGTGTAATACCTCCCTTTGCTGATTTTCATTATTGTTTTTCAATTCCTCTTCTTGAAATATTTTGGCAAGAATGTTTTGTAGTGCAATATTTCCAGTTGTACATTCTTTAAGCTTTTGTTTATCATAGAAGGTTTTTATTTCTTCATCAAATCTAAAGATTAATTTTGCAGGGTATAAGATTCTTGGTTGACAGCAATTTTCTTTCAGAACTTGGTATATGATGTTCCAGGATCTCCTGGGTTGAAAAATCAGCTGAGATATCAATTGGTCTCCCCTTATATGTGATCTGATTCCTTTCTCTATTGCAGCCTTTAAGATTCTATCTTTATTCTATATGCTAGGGATTTTCATTATAATGTACCTTGGTATAGATCTGTTGTAATTTTGTACATTTGGTTTTCTCTAAGCCTCCTGTATTTGATTTTCTTATTCATTCTTCATGTTTTGGAAATTTTCTGATATTATCTCATTGAAGAGATTTCGCATTCCTTTGGTTTGAAACTCTGTGTCTTCCTTTATTCCAATAACTTTTAGAATTGGTCTTTTGATGCTATCCCATAATTCTTGGATGTTCTGACATGGTTTCTTACCATCTTTACTGTGTGGTCAATTTTCTTGCACATTGTATACTTTGTCTTCATTATCTGAGATTCTGTCTTCCAAGTAATCTAGTCTGTTGGTGATGTTTTCTATTGAGTTTTTTATTTGGCTTATGGTTTCCTTCATTTCAAGGATTGTGATTTTTTTTTTCAGAATCATTCTCTCTTTCTTAAAGTTATCTTTTGCTCCCTGTATTTGCTCCCTTATCTCTTTGTTCGTGTGACCAATGGATGCCTGTTTTTGCTCCCTTATCTCTTTTATTGGTGTCATCAATGGTTGCTGGTATTTGCTGTCTTATCTCTTTGTTGGAGTGATTGATTTTTTGCCTGTATTTGCTCATTTAGGTCATTTTTTTAAATTCACAGATCATTTTAATTATGAACATTCTGAACTCCTTCTCTGACATTTCATCAACTGAGCTACCCATGTGTTAGAATGCCAGGTGCCATACTGACTTGTTTACAGACTCTAACACCCATGGGTTCTGTTATATCCTGATTTGTTTGAGGCACTTTCCTCCCTTGTTTGTTCATGTTGTCTATGTAATTTCCTTTCTTGCAGTGTGGATCTGAGGTATTACAGTTTCTACCCTATAATCTTATAGTATCTGTGCAGATTATCTGTACCTCCCTTTGGTGTTGGGCTTCCAGTCCCTGCTGGTGTCCCAGGATGGATGTTGCTGCAATGAAAGTTGGTGGCCACAATAGAAGAGATACCTTGAGATAGCAGTGGAAGTGTTCCAAGACGGATGAACCCTCTTTCGGAATTGGGGCTGAAAGGATGGGCCTTATACTGACTTTGGGATGCCTGCTTCTCCATGAAGCTGCTTCTAGTTCTTGTCTGATGTCCCAAGGCAGAGGCTGCTGCATGGGAAAGGCTATGGCGATGGCTGCAGTGACCCAAGATGGAAGTGGGTCAAGCCTGGGCTCCCAGGTGGGGAGTTGCTGGACTGACCCAGGCCTACTCTGGGCCTGGGCACCTGCAGAGATAAGCAGAGGTGGTCCTCTCATTGTCTGTTTTTTTTTTTTTAAAAAAAACAACATTTTTAGTTGTTGATAGTTCTTTATTTTATTTATTTACATGCAGTGCTGAGAATCCAACCCAGTGCCTCACTTATGCCAGGCAAGTGCACTACTGCTGAGCCACAGCTCCAGTCCCTCATTATCTATTTATTTTTTCACCTGTCTCTTTTTTCAGCTATCTGCTTTGTTTGAACTGTAATTAATTTTATACAGGTGCACTGGACTGAGCTGCTACATACTACACTGCTTAGTTCTTCCTTTCATCTGCAGCTTCAAACTGATGCTGACCTATTCAAAGACCACATGTAAATAACACAGAAGAGGCAGGTAATTAATAAATCCTAGAGAAATTTTTGACAAAAGGGAAATGGAATAAAGTGGTTACATTCTTATTTTTCCCCCATGGTCAGACCTGAGTTATAGTTCATGTCATTTCTTGAAAAATTGTCACAACACATTAAGAAATCAGTTGTATATGGCGGTCTCCAGGTTGATAGTGCACCTCATATTGTTTCTTCCTATGTCCTTAATTCATTTACTCTAATGGTCAATTTTTTTTTGTATCAGTTTGACAGGAGTGAGGAATTGCAATCAAACATTATCTTGATGTGTCTATGAAAGTGTTTCTGGCAGAGATTAGGGTTGAAAGCAGTAGACTAAGTACAGGAGATGCAACCTCAGCAATGTGTACAGGCAACACCCACTGATTGGCTAGAACAAAAAGAGAGTTGTTGAATTCTCTCTGTCTTCTGGAGTTAGGACATTCATTATTACTTTATGTATATGTGTGACTGCATGACCAGTGTGATTCTACAGCATGTACAATCAGAAAAATGAGAAATTATATCCCATCTATGTATGATATATCAAAGTACATAAATGCATTCTACTGATATGCATAACTAATTAAAACAAATTAATTTTTAAAGAGGTCACAGCTATACAGGATCTAAGCCCAGACAATATGGTTTCAAAGCTAGTGGGCTCAGATGCCATACCAGTATTCCTAATACTTGCATATGTATCAAAATCACCTGAAGGGCTTATCAGCAAACACAAAATGTCTGAACCACATCCATCTGGTTTCTAAATCAGTAGGTTCAAACTATGTTCTGATGTTATTAAACATAATGAACACCCCTCTCGCCAAAAAATAAATAAATAAAAATAATAAACTCTCTTATCTACTTCTAAGATAACATACTTAGGACAAGGATAAGAAAATCATTCTTTTTTTAAAAGCAGATATAGGGAAATTGAAAGAAGCAATTGGCTCAAAGAAAGACCAAAACTCATAGGGAAGACTGAATCTTAAGTCTCAAAGCCTGGCATCCTATACACATGACACTGGTGTGCTTCCTAGGCCTTGGGAGCCCTGCAGGCACTGTGGCTTTGCTCTTCTCAGGCCATATTGCTACTCTGTGGCTGGTGCCTGCAAAAGTTTGGCATAGCATGCTGTGAATGACTCTCCCTTTCTGGTGTCCCCACTCAGTCTCTGCTTCTAAGGTTCCATTAGGTATACTCCAGTGAAAAAGAATCTTTGTAGGAGTACTGACCCTGTACAAACAGAAGTACAAACTTCTGTCTTATTTTTCAGACTTTCCTTTGAAATCTCAGTGGAAACTTCCATAAAACTATAACCAATACATTCTCTGAAAAATCAGTACCATGTGAATGCCTAGGTCTGCTGCTGACACAAGAGGTGCCTAGGCCTGCTTGAACCATAGTTGTAACAGCTTCAGAGCACTTCAGTAGAAAACCAGAATCCTGAGATGACCTTGGGCATTAAGTCTTTGGGGAGCACCCTGGGATCCATCTCTGAAACAAATTTTCCATTTTAGTTCTTTTGGCCTGTTATAGAAGAGGTAGTCTTACAAATTTCTAATGAGCCCATGAGATCTTCCTCATCTTGACAATTAGCATATGGCTCCCTTTAATTTATTTTAATCTCTTTAGCAAGTGGTAGCTCAACCACACCCTTGTGAGCTGTCCCTCTTTAGATTAAACTTTTCATACCTTTTTTTTCTGTTTCCTTTTATTCTTAAGCCTCATTATGAATCCGATTAACAATGGCCAATAATATCCATGTGGAAGCCTAAATGCTTTGCCATTGTGAAATTTCCTCTGCCAAATAAATTATAATTCCAAAATCTGGCCTTTCCTAAAACTCAAGGGCATGAACATAATTCATCCATATTCTTTGTGATGGTATAATGAGATTGACTTTTTCTCTAATTTCTAGAAAGACCCTCAACTTTGAGACTACTTTCCTCATCTCCTTGTTTTCTAAGTCTTTGCCAGAGTTACCCAGTTACCCATAATGTTCTGCTCACAACATTGTAGACTTTCCCAAGCCTGTTCCTTCAAATTCTTGCAATCTCTTCCCATGACCAAGTTCCAAAGCTTCTTCTACATTCTCAGGTATAGTTATAGGAACCACCAGTACCAATTTTCTTCATTAGTCTGTTTCCCATTGCTATAATAAGATACTTGAGGATAGGTAATATGTTTTTTAAAGGCTTACTTAACCCACAGTTTTGAAGGTTGAGCCTCACAGAGGTTCGTATCACACTGTCAATAGCGTGTGAAAGAGTCAGAGATCATATGGTGGGACTGGCAGCCAGAGAGTAAAATTGAAGCATCATATTCATTCATTCTTCTTTCAACAACTCTGTCAAGAGATCTAACTTAGGGTCCTCTGAGATCTACCTTAATCCCTACGGAGGACAGCTTTGCCAGTGATTTCCCATTAGGGCTCTTAAATCTTACACCTCTCAACATTGATTCACTGAGGATGAAGCTTCCAACACATGAGCCCTTGGGGGTCACACTAAACCATTACAGATGGCAAACTCTCCTCCTTTTTCATGGCATCCCTATGAGTAAAGCTTTTACTTGAGGTTAGCTGGCATGAAGTGCATACTGAATCTGTAGTATGGGGGATATGCAGTTGATATGACATGTGAACTACATGAGGGTGACAATATATATAAGCAAAGTATAGAGTAGGCTTTTTAAATTTTTGTTGTTGTTGTTGTCATTGTTCTAGTTAACCATCTTGAAAGCTCCATTTAGAAAAAAAAAGACTCTAGAAGATAACTACCAACTGAAGGAAAACTATGCAAGACAGAAAGACTTTGACAGCAACTCAAAAAAGTACATTTGTTCTTACAATCCCCATTGCTTTCAGGCTGGTATTGACTTCCAATTCTCAGAGAAGTCCAAGAGGGGAAGTACAATTCTTGTTAACAAAACAATCACTCACACACTGAAGTAACACTGCTTATACTTAGTGCTTAAGACAAGAAGCAAATACGGGTGTGGATCTTATGTGTTGCACAATTATATATACTAAATCGGCTACAGAATAATTTATTTCACTGATCCTTCACCTATGATTTGGGTTTCAAGGGTCTGGCAAGGTTACATACATTTTTTGGCAATGACTTCTTAAAGTACAATTCTTAAGATTACTAATAGTGATAACACTCTTCTGAAATAATACTGAGAAAATGATTAGTAGGATCAGGAGAGAGAAGAATGTTATAATAAAATTTCTATATTAGACTTGAGGACTCACAACCTGCCTGTGTTCCCTAGGAAGCCCAGTAATACACTTGTTACCTAGGCAATAGAAAATATTTTAAAAAGTTTGATAATGTCTCTCTTATATAGCCCAATGGGAAATACTGCCTTGGTATTGGGCTCCCTAGTAACAGTAAGGTAGTGAATTCTGAAATGGTGGTCATTTGCTAACTATATTTAATTGTAAGAGATAAGGTAAACATAACTTATCATAGTAGGCAGCAAAGCTGAGCAGCAATGCAGGCTCTTTAGTCCACAGGGATCTGTGGCAATGAATAAGGCTATGGCTTTCCTGAGAGTGAAAGAAAGGAGCAATCAGATGTTGCTAGATTTGTGCAGTAATCTTAATTTAAACAAATAATGTCTAGAAGGGCAGAAGGCTAGTATTGGCTGCCAAATGGAAACTTTAGTATTTCATCTTGATTATAAAATTAATAAGGCTCTAGATCAAAGTTTCTAGATACTGAGTTCAGTGATTGCAGATGAGCTAAAAGTCTTTGAGGAAGGACTATAAAATGCAACTACTAGTAAATACCATGCTCATTTTCTCAATTTTTCCTAAAAATGCCTGTGACTATTTGTCATAATAACTGTGCAGTGGTAAAGGGGAATATTCAGACTTCTTGAGAAATGTTAGATATAAGATCTGACCTGATTCTGGTTATAAAGAGCTGGAAATGCCATCATGACAGAGAAACTGATGGAAATTAGGCAATAAAGAGATTTACAGCCTCATCGAATCTTGACAGAGCCCAAGTGGTTCCCATTGAGCAAATGTGTAAATGGGATAGATATCAGTTATCGGGTATCATAACTCTCATGTTTTCCCTTGATTTGGGGGGTAAGGAACACTAGTGGGAAAAGCCAAATAGAAGCCCATGAAGCAATCCACAATTAAGACACCAAATTATAAAAAAAATATATCCTGGAAGAAAGAAACAAAAAGAAACACCCATCAAAACTGTGAAGAACGTAGATGTCACATCATACCTAAAAAAAGTTAGGGAAAGGAAAGATGAACTACTGCAGAAGACAACAGAGGACAGGACAGGACACCTTTTATCACTTCCATACCTTTGTTTTCCTGAACGTGGTATTTTTATAGAAGCAGAACAGCACAGCTTCTGCATTTGATTTGTGTCTACTGATCTGACAAATGTGTTCTTGATAACATTGGTGAGGGAGACAAGAGCAACACATTTTCTCATAGTTGTGACGCAATACACATGCCCTCATTTGCTCCTGGGCATTGTTAACACTCTTGCTTTCTGTCATAATAGTGTCATCAGTGAACTTGAACAGAATGAGATGCTGGTCCACTCTGTGATAAATCACACCAATAAGACATGGTGAATGTGAAGCAATGCTATCAATGCTGGATGTCCCGGTAAGGTACAGGAAGACAAATCAGAAAAGGAAGATAAATTCTATGAAGAAGATACAATTATCTGATGTATTCCTGGTTATCCTAAAAGAAAGAACACAATATTTCTCCTATACCACCTAGCAGTAAGAAAGAGACCTCCTTTGTAGGCGTTCATAGGTTTTGGGCAGAGCTGCTCTAATTACTTATGAGATGACATGGGAGGCTTCCAAAATTAGGAAGCCCAGAGAAAGTGAGAACTCTGCACAGTTGTAGATTGCATCACAAGCTGTTCTAACACTAAGGCCAAGTATTATGCTAATTGAATTGGCTAAAAATGGTCTCTGCTAATCCTCACTACAAGATTTGCAATGAGGATCTCCATGGTACTGGAGCAAGTTCTGGAGCAGGGAATTACTCTATGTTAAAAACTGCTCTTGGTATGCTAATGGGCCCTGAGAGAGGCTTTATCTCCTTGCCCATTTCTAGCTGAGTACTATCAGTTCCATTTTGTCAAAGGTAAGACAAGTGCAGCCATAGTCAAATGGAATGTTTGGAATTGGTCCCAAGCACTTCCAAAAAAATGATTCAATTACAGGAGGAGTTCAGAATCCCATGTTGCATACCATTATTGCATCGTTGCCTCTATTCAATTTATTGTTACAAATTTCTTGAGGAGTAACTGTAACCTGGTGACTGGAGAGTGAAAAATTTTAACCCAGTCCATGGGTGCTGCAGCCTGTTTCACACACAGTACATTTTAGCCCCAATCAGGCGAAATCTATGAAGGTATGTGATAAAGAAAAGTCTTCCCATTGGAGAGAACTATAAGAAATGTCCTTAGTTAACTGCTTTAATACAGAAAAAAAAAGTGTGAATTACATTTACATACATATAAACTCTTGGAAAGAAGCAAATAGTTTGGTGGTTTACTCAGGAAAGTGAAAGAAATAATATTCAGTGACCAGAGACAATAAGATCTGGAAAAGAAGCATATGGATTAACTTATTTAGTTAACATAAAATGTTTACAAATGTCTTTGTGTCTTAATTTAATGACCTTAAGAGAATATCTTCTATACAGAAGTCTCCTGACAATGAATTGTTAGGTTCATTCATTTTGTAGACATCAGCAGGCCTTTCCTCTAGGCCTCTCTGTGGTAATGGAATGGGCTTCTAAGTAAAGTAACTATGATAACATGGTTGGATGCTGTATATATGCCCAATAGTATGGTCTTTCTCTCACAATGACTAATGTAGCTACTACCATTGCTGAACATTCAACTTTTCAACAGCAAATACAAGCAATGAACTCTCTGTGTATCACCATTGTTCAAGGAAACCATCCAACCACATGGTAGTAGGTTCATGTATAGCAGTTCTACTGCTCTGAGTAGGGGGGGGGGAAGATGGCAGTAATTTTCCATACCAAAATTAACATCTGATACAATTATGCTATTTTTCCCTGCCTGTACCCAAATTGCAAGCCTAAAGACAAACTTCAGAGGACTTACAGAATTTCCTGACCTATCATCATGGTATCAGTGGATGCAATACAGTCTCTGGCCAATAAATCCATATTTATAGCAAAAGAGATATGAAAGAAGTTCCCATAGGATCCACTGGAATTGCCATGTGGGTCTTTACTTCATCCACTCCCTGTTCCCATCATCCACAAAAGCTGGCTAGTTGAAAGCATGGGAAGTCCTGTTAAGGGCTAAGCTATGGCACCATTTCAAGGACATCACCTTGCAGGGTCAAGACATTCTTAAAGTATATTTAACAAACAACTAATAACTCATGCTGGAATAAATGAATCGAGAAGCTAAGAGTAGAAATAAAATTCATCCTCTCACCATTATAACTTATGATCCAGTTTTAATTTGGGCCCTAAAGCCTTAGGCTCTGCTAAAATAAAAGTTTTATTTTCAATGTTGGAAAACTATGCTTCCACTAAATTGGGGCATAGCTTTAAACTGTAACTCCTTCCTGATCTCTTGGGATTCCTTATTCAAGTAAAACAGCAAGCAGAGACAAGAGTGATTGAACCAGCAGGAGCAATGAGCACTCAGTACCATAAGGAACTAGGGTTGCTGCTACATGATATAGAAAGGAGATTGAGGTGGGACCTAAGGAATTCACCAGGCATCTCTCAGTACTTTTACCAAAGGATAAACAATGACAGTACCTCAGTAACTGTAGCAACCATGACTCAACAAAAGGAAAGTAACTGAGGATTCAGACCTCTTGGCAAGGAAACTGGGGTCTCCCACTTAGACCAGTGCAGTGCTGAGGGCAGGGAATCCCAGCCTGAATGTTGTTGTAGAGTTTTATAAATGTCCTCATGCCTTGTCATGTTGTAGCACAGAGAACAACATATAGCTTGTTACACTACCTCACGAAAGTTCTCTTATTGAATAGGTACAAAAAAAAAATCTGAAAAAAATAATTAAAGAAGAGTTCCATCCATGAATGTTTGTCTACTATATCTTGAAAATGTTGGCAACCCTAGAAAACATTCCAGTAATATTTAAAAGATTCCATATCATTGACCCATTCAGTTATTAAAATTTCTTTTCCTTCCAATTATTGACTCTTTCTTAATAGTATCTGTTAAGAATATTGAAAATAATTTCTTTATGTTTAATAAGAAAAAAGCAAAGCATTCTGGTGGTCATTATTTCTTGTCAGTGTTTGTTTGCTTTTTTTCCACAGACTGTTCTTTGAAAATCCTTAATTTTTTAACAAAGATCAAGAGTCACAATAGACAGAAATATTTAGAGAAACTTTATAGATATCCTCATCCGTTTTCTATTGTTGCTGTAACAAGCACCATATACGTAAGTGTCTTAAAACTATTCCCATTTATTATCTGTTTCTGTAAGTCAGAAATTCAGTAGGGTCTTCAATTTGGACATAAGTATCACAAGGTTAATACAGAGGTATTGCCAGGTCTCTTCTTCCTGGAGATTGTAAGGAGGACTTCATTTCTTTTTTGATTCAAGTTGGTAGCAGAATTTAATTTCCAGGCAATTACAGGACCAAGGTTTTATTTCTTTGAAAGCTCTCAGGTGGGAGCTACTCTGCTTCCAGAAAGTACGTGTATTCCCTGAATTGTGGCCTGCTTCATGTTAGAACCAGCATTGTTAGGTTGAATAACTTTCATTCTTTCAATTTCTCCTGACTTCTTTTCTTTCTTTTTCTAGTTTCTTCAGGTATTTCATTTCTCTGATGGACACTTCTGCATTCTCTTCCATTTAAAGGTCCTTGTGATTACAGTGAATTTACCCATATAATCCTGAATATTCTTTCTATCTCACAAATCCTTAATCCTAAATTCATTTGCAAAGTGTTTTTTTTCTACATAACATAACACAGACAGATGTATCTACATGAACAAAGATCATAGGGACTAAAAGTTTGCACACCACATACACCCAGGTTACTCTCGCAGACAGATTACAAAACCCTGTTTCATTCTTAAGAGAAATAAATAATCTAAAACATGAAAATACAAGTCCTATGAGTGTGGGACCCTGGCTACTCATGAAAGGAAGATTCATCTTTGTTTAGTCCCCTGGAAATTTTATACTCTAAAAAAATGTACCATAGTAAGATGAAGAATCTGTAAATATTCTTCTTTTGCAAGAATAAAGCAGTTATAAAGAAGTAAACATTTAACAGAAGAATTTATTTTCATTTGGAGATATATATATATATATCTAAAGCCTTCATTATATGAGAAAATCCTCACTAAAAAAAAATAACTGAAAAGGCTATCAGATAAAAAAAATTGGTCAAATTCTCTGATAATGAAATGAAATAGCTAATGTGACTGAAAATTTTATCATTGAATAATTTAATGGTTTAATTTAGCCAATTAGACTTGAATTAGATTAATTTAATCCACTAGTGGGTTCTACATTGGTAGTTATAACCTCTCATTGTGTTAGACATGTGTGAAGTCCATTTGAGCTTTCAAGGCAGAGACTTATTCCAGAGAATGAAGTTAGTTAAAAGAATTAATGCTAGAGGCTCTGCTTATTGCTGTTTTTTCTAACCTAATCACATGATCAGGCAAACAGAAAACTCATAACATCAAGTATTATAAGACTAGAAAAATGCTTGTTTATTAAAATTTTTTGTATAATAATGATATAACATCATCTATTTTCCTAAATCCTATTGCTTAGGTGATTTGTACATTCACTATTGAGTGGACACAGTCAGTCCTGGATGTCTATGTTGGACCATAACTGGAGTCTCTCATTCCTTGTTCATTGGAGGAAACTATGGTACCTAGACCTATGCTGTCCAATAGAGGAGCCACTAGCCACACATGCTGCTGAGTATTTGAATTATGATTAGTCTGATCTGAGATGTACTTCAAATTTAAAATGAAAACTGCATTTATTTTTTAAACATTGCTTTTATTTTCTGTCTACAGATTTTTTGTCCTTTTTCTTTTTTTTTTTTTTTTTTTTTTGGTGGTGCTAGGGATAGAACCCAGGACCTTGTGCAGGCAAGGTGAGCACTCTACCAACTGAATTATATCCCTAGCCACATATACTGCATTTTTTTTTGAGGGAGTAGTACCAGAAATTGAACCCAGGAGCACATGGCCACTGAGCCACATCCCCAGCACTATTTTTTTTTTATTATTTAAATACAGGGTCTCACTGAGTTGCTTAGCACCTAGCCATTGCTGAGGCTGGCTTTGAACTCACAATCCTCCTTTCTCAGCCTCCCAAGCCTCTGGGATTACAGTCATGTGCCACCATGCCCTGCCTTATGCATACTATATTTTTAAACAACAGATCACAAAAAATATTGAAAGTATTTCATTAGAAATCTTTATACCTTGATTGTATGTTAGATAATAGGCTAACTAAATTTGGGTAAACATTATGTATTATTGAAATAAATGTGAAAGTCTATGTGACTATGAGAACACTAAAAATTACATATTGGCTCACATATTTTTATTAGTTAATGCTCATCTAGACCCCAGCAAATCTCATAAAGCCACTCATTCAGTCATGCAATTATATGCCTGGCAGTCATGTTTTATGACAAATGTTCCATCTTTAAAGTCTTTATCCTCCTCCTCTACAGTCCCTCAGAAGAGAGCCACACTGTTCCACAAGGCTAGTAGTTCAAAAGATATTGCTAGCCTCTCATTACCTTCCCTTTTTCTAACACCCATTTAGAGAATCCAGGGCTTAATTATTATTTGTACAAAGTCTGCTTAGGGAGATAAATAAAACTCAGTGATAATTCAAACCAAAATATCACTGTGATCAGATCTTCCTGACCACTGCTAGGCTTTTAATCTTTGTTTTTAATCACAGTACTTGCTCTTCACAAACAAGCTGACACTTGCTCTCTTTTCTTCATTTCCCAAGGCAAGACAATCACAAGCAGAACTTTATTTTTTTTTCTCTGAGAGGACAAGTTGAATGTGATTGAAAAAAAAATAATTAGTGCAGAACTGCCCATATTTTCAGCACTAAGTAGAGATGAATTACATCTTTGAGTATCATCTGCAGTTTCTGAGTAACTGCTTCTTAGACAAGATGTCAGCCTGGAGCCTGGGTCAGCCTAGCTACAACACAGACAGCAGGGGGTCAAGATGTTCTGTGTGCAACACTGGGCTACCATGAACCGTTCAGGTAGAGATGGAGGAACTGACTGTCAGACTTATTCCACTAGCCTTGAAAATCATCCGAATGACAGTGATTATTCCATCCAAGTTTCACCTTCTG